ATGGCATCATAGCTCTCACTGCAACCTCAGACTCAGGCTGTGGGCATCCTGCTGCCTTAGCCTCCAGAAGCTGCAGGGATTACAGGCACTCCCCAGGGCGCCTGGCTGGGTTTTTCCATTTTTTTTTAGGAGTCTGGGTCTTACTCAGGCAAGTCTCAAACTCCTGAGCTCAAGCAATTCTCCCTCCTCTGTCTCCCACAGTGCTGGGATTACAAGCGCGAGCCACCATGCCCAGCGGATCTTATGTTATGTTATGTTATCTTATGTTATGTTATGTATCTTATGTTATGTTCACTATTCTTTTTAATTTTTCTTCTTATTCACTCACTTTTACTGCTGTAGCACCTTTTTGTGTGTAGCACCTTTTATCTTCCAGTAGTTGCTCAAGATAGCAAAAACTCATTTATTCAAACATCATTAATTGGGGATTTTGCATAACACAGATGAGATTAGCACTCCTTAAAAGGAAACTATTGCAAACTGTCATTTTCATGGAATACATTTGGCCCCTTTAAGTGAACTTTGTGAGGACTTCGCACCTTTTTTATGTGCAAAGACACTGTGAATTTGGCTATTCGTTGACTCCATCTGCAGCAGCTCAAATGAGACAGATAATTAAGAATGAGAGGGCTGTACCTGTGGCTTAAAGGAGTAGGGTGCAGGCCCCATATGTCAGAAGTGGCAGGTTCAAAGCCAGCCCTGGCCAAAAACTGCAAAAAAAAAAAAAAAAAGAGCTTTCCAAGGACTCTGGATTCAGAGTTGCAAATTCAAATGGTCCTTTCCCCAGTGAGCTGGAAGCCCTGACTTCTGAGTTTTTTCTGTCTCTGAAATTAGATGCCACCTCCCTGGGAAGAGAGGTAGATGTGTATGCCCTGTGGTCTGAGGCTACATGACATTACTGTAATGACAGTGATGCTTTATAGCCTGCCTTATAACCTCACAGAGAATTTCACACCTTCAAACACCTTTAGGAATGTCAACCAAACTGAAAGGTCCCTTTGCTGGGCCTGGCGGGGAGATACTACTGGCTCAGGTGCGGGGATGGCTGACCCTTAGTTGTGTGGAAATGCTCTTGGGTGAACACGGTACAAATGCATGTAAAGAGCATCACTGAAGTCAAAATTGTCTTTTGAATTATATATTTTCTTAATCAACAGATTAAAAAATAATCATTGTATGGAAAGGGTCCAGATGAAAGCTCAGTTCTACACATGCAGAGTGGGGGTGGGGGGTGTTGCTGGGGCCAGGGAACTTGAGAGAGCTGAAACTTGGTCTGGAAGTCACAGTCAGCTTTCTCCTGCCTCTTCAGAAGTCAATGTCCTGCTTCCTGAGGTCATTTCAAACAGTGTCACAACATGCAGGAAGCATGTGAAATGCTGATGTTTGTCTATCCACCTCCCTCCAGGCTCAAGATCCCATCCATCGCCACTGGGATTGTGGGTGGCCTCCTCCTGGTGGTGGTGGTGGCCCTGGGCGTTGGCCTGTTCTTGCGAAGGCGCCACATAGTCCGGAAGCGCACGCTGCGCCGGCTGCTGCAGGAGAGAGAGGTGAGCAGCGAGCGCCCTGGGAGCCTGGCGACCTGCAGGGACAGGCAGTTGTGTGTCTTAGATATACATTCACTTTATTATGCACTATTTGTTGTGATGGAAAAAACAGAAATTCTCTGAATTTCCAATTATACCCAGATAGTTATATTTTCATACTACCCAGCAAAGTGGAATGTTTCTTAGCTGAGCCCTACAAAATCCTCCTGGAGCCCCACACACCCGACCCTTCATGGGCCTGAGGGTGGGCTTCCACACGTGTGGGGCAAGCCTTGGAGGAGGCCGCTGGAGTGAGATGACAATCATTACTCTGGAAATCTGTCTACACACATGGCTGGTATCATTCTGGATACTGGCTGTGCCCAGCCCTCTGTGGGGGCCCATTGTTCCTAGGAGGAGGGACCCAGCAACTCAAGCATAAGGGACCGCTACAGATACCAAATGCAGAGAAATTTCCCTTAACAGAGTTTTGCCAGAGCTGGCTGGCATGGACACAGAAAAGAGAAGTCACATTTTGTTGAAACCAGGCTGCTCTTTTTTTCTTTTTTCTTTTGAGACAGAGTCTCACTATGTTGCCCTCAGTAGAGTTCTGTGGCATCACAGCTCACAGCTATCTCAAACTCCTGGGCTTAAGCAATTCTCTTGCCTCAGCCTCCAGAGTAGCTGGAACTACAGGTGCCTGCCATAACGCCCAGCTATTTTTTGTTGCAGTTGTCATTTTTGTTTAGCAGGCCTGGGCCAGGCTCGAACCCGCCAGCCTTGGTGTATGTGGCTGGCGCCCTATTCAATGAGCTGTGGGCACTGAGCCACCAGGCCACTCTTTAAAGAGAAAGCTGTGTGGGCTTCCTGTCTCTGCTGCCTCTGAAGTTTGTCAGAGGAGGTGTGCACCCCCTGATGAGTGCACATGCCCAGGCTGTGTCCCCCGCTGTGCATGCCTGCAGTTACCCTGTGGCCCCTGTGCTGGGCACTAAGCCAGAGTCTCTGCTTCCTTGTCTCCCCAGCTCGTGGAGCCCCTCACACCCAGTGGGGAAGCCCCTAACCAGGCACTTCTGCGGATCTTAAAGGAAACCGAATTTAAGAAGATTAAGGTTCTGGGCTCTGGCGCATTTGGCACCGTGTACAAGGTGGGTCTCACATGCATTGTCATTGTCATCGTGTGCTCTTTGTTTCGCTGAGGGTTTGGGAAATTTGCACGTTTTTCCAAAGCTTTCATTTATAGCCAGAGTAACAAAAAAATGGCCCTGTGGAACATGCACACAGATGAGAGGCATTTTAAAGGGGATGTCACTGACTTTTTAGAGGGAGCATGACCCAGGACTGGGGGCAGGACAGCTGAAGGCAGGAGGACAGTGTCACAGTATCAGCATAAAGCCAGGTCTCAAAAGCCTCCTCTTAGCCTGTTTTTTCTCAGATCCTCTCTATATAATCTGGTCTCAGTTAGGCCAGGCCCAGTGTCTTAAAATTCTAGATGAAGTGGTGTACTCTGGCTGTAACTGGCATGAGCATGAACATTTTGAATCTGAATATTACCCTGACTTGTGGAGCCTTCTTGCTTAGGAGACACTGAGACTCCTGGGCACAGCGATCTCAGAGTGCAGAGCTGAGGTTCCCATCCTGCCTGGGTCTGACAGCTGCTGGTTCATGTCTTCCCTCTTTCTGTCATAGGGACTCTGGATCCCAGAAGGAGAAAAAGTTAAAATCCCCGTGGCTATCAAGGAATTGCGAGAAGCAACATCCCCAAAAGCCAACAAGGAAATTCTCGACGTGAGTCTGCTTTGTTCTGTAGTTGTCCACAGGCCTTGGACACCGCAGGTGCCTCCTGGGGGGCTGGCAGGGCTGTGCTGTCTTGCTCCTCCCCACCACTTGCTCCACGTTCACTTGGCATGCCTTTTCCCATGTGGCGCTGTTGGTGTGATGCCCTTCTCTTCCAGGGCAGACTCCTCTCCACTCTCTGTCCCCAGATGACAAAGATGCACAGATGCTGGGCAGGAGGAGAACTTGACACTAGCTTCTTCCCCACACAGGCCCAGCATGCTTATGATGAGCCTGAGCACACATGTTGTGCTGAGTGATTTGGGGTAAAAAACAGAGACATAAGGACACTTGCTGAGCTTTCTGGAGTAGGAATCAAGCCCACTATAGTTTCAGACTCCAAAGCTTACATTCACTTTGCTCTGCCAAGTTACCTCATCTTTGAAATGCCTTTGTTTAAAAGTGCCTCAAATAAAGATGCCCATTGTATGATGTTCATCACTGGGCATCACTGTTTTACAGAAAGTGCACCTCTGTATTTTCTGCCAAAATAATTCAAATATCATTCTTTAGGGTCTGCTGATTGCTCCTTTATGGAATAAGTCCCTCAAATTTCCACAAGATTACTGTTCACTGTTACTGTTCATTGAACTTTTGTTGGACCAACCCTGGCCCCAGGGGGGCAGCACCCTCTGGGGAAGAGGCTGGCTGGGGTCTGACAGAGTCCACCCTAGCTGAGGCCTGGGCTTTCTGGCAGTCTCAGGGAACCTTTTCTGTGAAAGGGGAGTTGGGGACCAGGCATTGGGCAAGGGCCACAGAATCAGGAGAAAGGGAAAATGGCTGCATTTATTGTCTCAAATCTGGAGGATTATTTGATCTTATAGCCTAGAAAGACAAAAGCCAAATTAAAAAAAAATAGAAAACAAAAACATGGGCCTTTAAAAAATGTGAATAAACAACATTTTTCAGTGGCAAAACTCCACAGTTCATTTTTCTCTGAGCAGCTTCCCTCCATTTATGAGAGGAAATCTCACATCAGTACACATCTAAATGAAGGATGATGTGTTAAAACAGTGCAATAGAAATCCTGACACTGATGATATGCTTATCGGCCGAAATTGTCTTCCATGTTAATGGCTTATTAGGACTGTCATGTCCTATTAACAGGTAGGTAAAGGGTTCATGAAGTCTTCCACTTATAACCTCGAATTTCCCTCTCATGTACTGTCGAAAAGAAAATCTTTGTACAGAATTCGCCTCTATAATTCATTTTTTGCTCATTTGAAACAATATAATAAATTACACAAAATAATGTTGAATTTCACCAATATTGGTGAAATTCATTCATGCAGAATGCAGATAGTTTGGGAAGTGTGCTAAGACAGCAGCACACTCTGGGAAAGAAGTAGTTTTTGCTAAAAAATCCTTCCTGCCCCCAGGATCTCTTAATTGGAGGCAGGAAGAGTGGCTTCCTGGGGGGGAGAGCGGGCAGGAGGTGGAGGAGGCCGAGGACAGAAAGCGCAGCCTAGTGTCTGCAAGGCAGGAGCCTCCTCTTGCTGCTTCTCCCCTCCTGACCCTTCCTCCCTCCCTTAATTTATTTCCTCCCTATGCTTCTTCTCCCTGGCTCTCTTTTGTCGTCTCTAACATGGGAGAAGACTGGGCTGCTACCTTTAGTGGGAGTGGAGAGCCTGGGACAAGGTTGGAGATGCTGCTGAGGGAGTAAACACCAGGGAAGCCCAGCCGATGTCAGCAGTGAGGGAGATGACACGTCAGGCCCCTGTCCCCTGACAGGGTGCCCATGGAGCCCAGCATGCTCTGAAATGTTCCAGCACTCCTGGAGAGCTCATCCACTGTCCCGCCCTTTACCCAGCTGGCCAAGTTTACCAACATAGGGTGCACTGCCCTTCCTTAGGAGTTTAAAATCTAGTGGCATCTTTTTCCCCAATTCATAACATGAACTATTTCACAGATGAGGATGACAAGTAAGAGGGGAAGGACCAAAAGTCATGCTACAATTAGGACAAAATATCCCCACACTTCAATGTCATCAAGGCTGCAGGGACACTGCTGCTGGGGGGCAGTGAGCTCTACACTGCCCAGGGCCTGTTTGGATCACTTGGGACACCAGGCAGCTGCTGTAGGTCACCATGCACCTACGGCTTGAAGATAAATGGCTGTGGGGCGGCGCCTATGGCTCAAGGAGTAGGGCACTGGCCCCATATACCAGGTGCAGCGGGTTCAAGCCCGGCCCCACCCCAAAAACTGCAAAAAAAAAAAAAAAAGATAAATGGCTGTGAACAAAGCTTACTTTTAACTTCTGCACACACAGAACAAAACATTGCTCCCCTGTGACTGGGGGTAGGCAGGAGGAATATCCCATGGATCTATCAGATTTCAGCAGAGGTGGTGGGGAAGGCTCCAGGCTCTGTGTGGCCTGACACCCACACCCCTGCTCCCACTCCTGCCCTCCCGTGCCAGGTCAGCCCCTCCTGGGGGAGAGGGGGCTGCTTACTTTGTTCCTGCATGCAGATTCTTCTTCCCTTACAAATGAATACAATATGTATCCAAATCTCAACCAGATCTTGGGAAAATAGGAGCAGCCAGAGGATTTCTTCCATGTTATCCTTGTACAGCTTCCCAGACGGGGGAAGAGATATGAACTGTGCTTTTCTGGCAGTCACGTGGCTTATTAGTTTTTCCACAGACCTTCCAGTTTAAATTTAGCATGTGCAATGAAGAAGAAATGCAGACCACATTGTGTGTGCCATGAGCCAGCGTCTGCTCTCTGCAGCTCTCAAGGAGCGTTCTCCAGAGCACACAGCCTGCCGGACCCTCAGCCCACTGGCAGGCACCAAAGACAGAGGCCAGTGCATGGCTTGGGAGGTCCTGGCGCTGACAAGTGAGGCTTCGGGTTGGCCGTGCCCCTGCTGGGCCTTGATTTTCTTTCATGGTGATATTGCCTTCAGACAAAATGAGCTTTCTGGTTCTGTCCAGTTCTGACATTTTATAAACCAGCACTTCTCTGAGATGAAGAATTTTTTCCATGTCTACTGAGTTTGCAGATACTAAGCAACTCTGCTTTTCAGTGTGATGATACTAGGTTTATGAGATAAAAGGGAAAAACTTGGCACTCTCTGTAAAAACAGAGAGCCTAAACACTCTGCATTTGAAACTATAGTTTTTATTTGTTTTTTAATGGAAGTGGTACAGACTGAGATTTCCTTTGAATCTTTGATTCTGCATGAGGTCAGTGAGGAGGGGGTATATGAAAGCAGTCACATGTCTGGATCTGTGCTTCAGCAGACCAGGCTAGGACAGCTGCCCTACAGGAGAAGCTGCAGCCCCCCAGATCCCCTGAAGAGGAGGAGCTCAGGGAAAGCAGGAGGGAGCAGAGCCAGAGCACCAGAGCCCTGCAAGGGAGGGCAGGCAGGGTCTGGGGCAAGACAGGTGGTGTGAGCATCCTTGTGTTTCAAGAAATATTTACAGTAGGCTTTCGCCTGCTGTTGCCACTGTTGGTGTTGCCACTGCCGCCAGCAGCTGCAGGTGCTCTCCCAAGATGGCAGCTCCTCTGGGTGAGTTCTTCAGCTTTGGGAGCCAAGTGTCATGCCAGACTTGCCAGGAGCAGTGGCTGCAGGGTGAGGTGGTAGCCTTCAACTACCAGTCAAAAATGCTGGCTTTAAAATGTCCCTCTTCCAGTGGAAAGGCCAATCATTCAGACATCCTGCTTATAAACTTACAGTATGTTTCAGAAGTGGAAATTATTAATGACCGAACAGAAACCCCTCCTCCCCTAGCTTCACTCAATGCCAGTAAGCTTGCCAGCAAAGCAGGGAGGGAGAAAGAGGAGAAGCTGAGCCAGGCCGGTGCAATTGGTGCCCAGGCCTATGCAATCGGTGCTGGTGTCTCCCTAGAGGGCCAGCACTCTTCCAGACCATTCATGAGACCATTAAAGACTGGTAAATAGCAAGAAAAAAACATTGTAGTCATGGAAGAAGTTGTTATTAGTCCCCCATAACAAGTGGAAAACTGTAAAGGCAAAGAGGGGAGTGCACTGAGCCATGCACACAAAATAGTTGAAAAACATTTTAGAGATGTGGAAAGCCAAAAGGTACTGCATCATTCACAAGCCCAGCAACCACAGAAGGAGGCTGCCCTGTCATCCTGAGTCCACGTACATGAAGGACACTTCAGCATCCAGCCAAGGAGGAGGTGGTGGAGGCTTCAGTGAGGCCAGGGTAGGGAAGGGATCCTTTATGTCCTGTTGGTTCTTGTTAACAAAGGGTCAACATTTCCAAATCTTAGACTTGAACAAATAAAACACCCAACAAAAAAGAACAAGAGAATAATTTAAAAGTTGAATCATTACTTGACAAATAGACTTCAGTCCACCATGTCTTTTTCACAGCCCTCTTCTGGAGCAGTCACCCTGTTAATTTTATTTTTGAAAATTTCTTTCCTATTCTGCCCTTTTACTTCTGACTTTTCCTTTCCTACTCTGTTCCGGCCATCCTGTTTTTATAAGTGGCTACACTGGCCTTCTGAGTGATTGAAAGAAACTTTTACATCTTTTCTTCTCAAATCAAAGTAACAAGCTGACTGTGTTTAAGTTGAGACCAGAGCAGCAGACAGAGGTCTCACTTTAATTTTTTCTTTTATTTTCCTTTTCCTTCCCCCCCCCAATAGATCAAATGGCTTGAATTAGTTTTATTAACCTTTAATATATATAAGAAAATATATATTAAAATATTCTCTAAATATTTTCCGCTTCTTGCAGGTCTCTTTTTACTAGATCATGGCCACTCTTCCCACCTCTTCCCTCTGAAAATAAAAATGTATTACCCTTCCCACCAACTATAGCCAGGCAACTAGGTTGACTTCACTCACAGCAAGAATCTCCTGCAGCACTTTGTAGAGCCAGTGTATGCAGGTGGGATTTATCTTTGAGGGTTCTTGATAGCTTTTAGTCTTTGTGTGTGCATCTGTCTCACATTTGGCCCAAAGCTCAGGATTCACTCTCTGCCTTTTGTCTTTCTTCCTGGTATTAGAAGGAATCTCCTTACCATTCTCTTCAAATGGGAGAGTCAGCTGTTCTTCCTCCTGTGCCTCTGCAGGAAGAGCTTTTTTTGCATGGCACATCTCAGCTCTTCCTCCTTGAGGGATGATTTTCTTTTATGGAAAACCTGGAGTCCATCTACCCAGACTTCTCTTTAAATCTGTATCCAGAGGGGCTAACCCAGGAAGAAGCTTGGGCAACCTATAGTTTCTCTTCTGCTCTTTTTTTTTTTTTAATTCGAGACAGAGCCTCAAGCTGTCATGGCATCACAGCTCACAGCAACCTCCAACTCCTGGGCTCAAGCAGTTCTCCTGCCTCCACCTCCCATGTAGCTGGGACCACAGGCGCCCGCCACAACACCCAGCTATTTTTTGGTTGCAGCCGTCATTGTTGTTTGCCGGGCCTGGGCTGGATTCGAATCCGCCAGCTCAGGTGTATGTGGCTGGCGCCGTAGCTGCTTGAGCTGCAGGCACTGAGCCTTCTCTTCTGCTCTTATCCCCCACTTCCACCTCCCTTTATTTTCACAAACTTATGACAGTTTTATTTGCTCAGCCATTGGGCAGAAAACCTAGGAAGAATTTCTGGACTTTAGTCCCCACTTTGTCTGGTTTGACTAACCTACTGAGAGCTAAAACTGGCCTCCATTGCCCCTGTGCCCTCGGGTGGTCTCATGAGGCAGAGTATGCCACTACCTGGTTATCAGGCACCAAGTGGGGTATGGGTGATGCTCATGTGACTGGCTAGAGCTTTGGGTGGGGTGGGGGTTAACTACTATTTTTTTGGCCATGTTCTCTTTCCCCTTCCTTTTTTTTTTAATTAAATAAATGGATCAAAGTTAAATAATTAAAGCCCTGCCTTAAAAATGAATTTTTTTTAAAGAATTGTTTAGCAAAAACAATAAAGCCCACATTTTTTTAACCATTAAAAAAAAAAAAGAAATATCTACAGTGGCCCCTCCATATCTATAGTCAACCAAGGACCAAAAATATCTGGAAAAAGCATTTGTATCTATCTATACTGAACATAAACAGACTTCTTTTTCTTTGTCATTATTCCCTAAACAATACAGTATAATACCTTCCATAACATTTGTAGGTATTAAGGGTCATCTCAAGATGACTTAGCGTGTATAGGACATTCTTAGACTATATGCATAGACTATATACGAACACAATGCCATTTTACATCAGGGACTTGGGTATCCATAGACTTCGGTGTTCAAGGAAGGTCCTGGGACGGTTCTCCACAGATACCCTGGAATAACTATTTGTTACCCCACCTGACTTGCTTTCTCCAGCCTGCCTCCCAGCCAGCTGTCCATGACAATACCTAGGCCTCCCAGAGCATCACTCTGACTCTGCAGCCTTCCACTGACCCAGGACCAGTTCACGTCTATGAAGAAAAACTTAACTTGCTTAAGTTCACACTTGAAATGCAGGCATAGGCCAGGCACGGGGGTTCTTGCCTATAATCCTGGCACTCTGGGAGGCAGAAGCAGGTGAATTGCTTGAGCTCAGGAGTTCGAGACCAGCTTGAACAAGAATGAGACTCCATCTCTATTAAAAATTTTAAAAAGTAGCCAGGTGTGATAGTGGGCACCTGTGGTCCCAGCTACTCGGGAAGCTAGGGCAGGAGGATCATTTGAGCACAGGAATTGGGGGTTGCTGTGAGCCATGGTGATGCCATGGTACTCTAGCCTGGGAGACAGAGAGAGACCCATCTCAGAAAAACAAACAAACCAAAAAAAGTAGGTATTGTTGAGATGTAAAAGGAACCTTCTGGACTCGTTCTCTTACAGTGCCTGTGGCCTTCTTCATATCTGAATAAAAAGTCACCACCATTGTATGTTTAAAGGAAAGAGAATTTATGAGTGGAAATTAAGGGCTCCCTAATTCTCAGCCAGGCAGAATAGAGGCCCCATTGTGTACATGATTGCAAATAAATTTAGTTTCCTCAGTCCAAGAATAGCAGAAGGATTAAAATACAGTTTATATTTACAGATCTGTGAAACAAAGGCTCCTGCTATGGCAGCCAGCCTACATCAGTGGGGGAGAGGGGCACTATTTGTATTTTCCCATAAGGGGGCTGGGGACGGGGTGGGAGTGGGGAGGGTGAGTGGTGACCACAGACAGACCCCTCCCTTCAACACAGTCCTGGCAGCCAGCATCTGCAGTCCCTGTGGGCTTGGTGCTCTGTGGGTCCAGAGACAGAGCTCCTATGGCTGCCCTTACACATGTGCTGTGGGCAGCTTCCCAACCCGGGCAGCTTCCCCACCCAGACAGCATCACCATGGCGTGGTTTGGGCAAGTCTGTTATGTGAAGAAAGGAAGTTTTCCTCCAGGGCACCACGATGCCCTAAGCAGGCAAGTCGTCTTCTGGGCCCCCAACACGGCTTTCTGCAGCCCCATTCAAGTTCAGACTGCAGCATCTTGAACCTGAAGGCTTCCTAACACAGACACCACCAGTTTCCAAACTTAGAGGCCCCCTCTCATCCACATTCTCCCCGGATGAGCCCTGCCGTGGGTCCCTGTCTCGTGGAGTCCCTGGTGGACCCAGGAGGGGCCATCTCCCACACGTGTCTTGGTACTTCACAGCCCTGCATAAATGTTCCTGCTGCCAGGGCTTTTGTGAGCCAGCTTTTCCCGCATAAGCCCGTATTTCCAAACTAAATTCTGTCTCTGCTGTCCTGCTGGGAGTGGGCCCCTGGAGGGCCTCGCTGATGCTCTCTCCCTCTTACGCAGGAGGCCTATGTGATGGCCAGTGTGGACAACCCCCACGTGTGCCGCCTGCTAGGCATCTGCCTGACGTCCACCGTGCAGCTCATCACGCAGCTGATGCCCTTTGGCTGCCTCCTCGACTACGTCCGGGAGCACAAGGACAATATCGGCTCCCAGCACCTGCTCAACTGGTGTGTGCAGATCTCAAAGGTAAACAGGGCACAGGGCAGGGCAGTTCAGGACAGGAAGGGCTTCAGCCTAGGCCACATCCTTGTCCCCACCTTACGATGCAGTCCTTGTTGAGATCTCTCAAAGAGAAACAACAAGGAGAAGTAAAGAGATGAGCTGGCCAGGCAGCCTCCCTCCTGGGATCACTGAGTGTCTGCAAGGAGTGTGTGTGTGTGTGTGTGTGTGTGTGTGTGTGCGCGCGCGCGCACACGTGCGCTGTTCCTTGCTTGGAATAAAATTGACCATCCTGTGCGCCAATCAGTGCTTGTCCCACTTGCACGTCAGCTGCGTTTGAATAGTTTTCTCTTTATCGAGTGTCAGGATGGTTTCATGCCCTTGTTCTTATTTTGCTGGAGTCCTTTTTGGTGACTACTGTGGTGACGTGTAGTAGAGGAAGAGAGTGGCTTTTTCCCAACCAGGACTTGAGAACAAGGCAGTCAAACCAGGCTGAGGCCAGAATAATGAGGGTGACAGTGGCCTCGTGAAGTTGCCCACGGGGCAGGGCAGGTGCCCAGGCAGGAGGGCTGGTGAGCAGGGGAGAGGAGGCTGAGACAAGGAAGGGTGCTGCAGCTGCTGGGTTGTGGCTCCTTAGATGTCCCTGTACACAGGCTGGCTCCAGGGCCAGGGAGAAGCTGAGAAAGGAGACAGTGACCAGGTGGCCCCACCTGTGTACTGAGGCCCGGGACAGAGTGAGGAGGACCCCAAAGGGCGGCTCTTTTCATCTTAAACCTCTCCCATCTCCATCCCATCTCTGGGTCAGTTTTTGCACCCAACTTGCTGAGTCTTACTTTTTTTCTGACAACAGGTATACGTTTCATTCAGCTGAACATAAAGAATTTGCAGGTAGTCCCTGTCTCTGAGCAAATGCCATGGCCCCTTACACCCCATAGACAGTGGGGCAGAGTGTCAAGGGATGTGTCGGGGACCACGGAGGCAGCAAGTGGGCCACCATGCCTGGGGAATCTCTCAGTCTGGGTCAGTGGTGGCCGTCAGACCTGCCCCATTACTTGTAGAATGCCCTGAACTTGCCCCCCAACTCCGGGCAGATGTAGGTGACAAAAGATACATGCAGATCTGGACATCAGGCTACCCAGACTTGTGCTGAGAATGGGGCTCAGGATCCCTCCTCCCTCACCCTGGGGCAAGCTCTCAGGATACCCCCAAGATGATGGGCCAATGGCACAGCTTGCACAACCCTGGTCACCCTCACACTGCCTGGCACCGATTCTCAGCCGCCATCGCAGACTCCTTGCAGCCAGGAAGTGGGGATGCTCCTCCTTCCCTGACCACCACAGACCACCAACTGTCTTCCCTATTCGCATGCTCAAAATCCCAATCACCATTGCCAGAGACAGGCCTGGGAGGGGCTGTGTGCCTCCTGTGCTGTGTTTAATTTGTGACACGTTTGCTATTTCTGTGTGTGACTGTACCAGTTCCCTGGAGCTACCACAGCAAATTAGCAACAATGTGGCAGCTGAACACAACAGAGATTTATCTTCTCAACAATTTGGAGACCAGGCGTCCAAAATCAAGGTGTCTGAGAAGCTTCTGAGGAAAAGCCTTCAGCAGCTTCTGGCTCCGGTAGCCCCAGTAGCTGGCCTGTGGCTGCCTCTTGCTGGTCTCTGCTCTGTCCTCATGTGGCCTCCTTCCCTGAGTCTTAGCAGCCACATACTCTTCTCCTTTCTCTTACAAAGATACCAATTACTGAAATTGAAAGTCACTAAGAGAGTCAATTTTAAATGTTTTCGTCACCAAAAAACAGTATGTGAGACGAAGGACATGTTACTTTGATTTACTCGTTCTACGGTGGGTGCACAGCACCATGCTTCCTTCACAAATACGTGCTCGAGAGAATGTGAAGATCCTGATCCACGCGTGGAGGGCCACCTTACATCCAGGATGATTTTACCTCAAGACTTTTAACTAACTAGATTTGCAAAGCCCTGTTTCTGAATGGGGAGGCGAGTGCATCTTTGGAGGCACTGCTCAGCCACTGGGGCAGGAGGTTAGCCCAGGGTGTGTTTTAGCTTATGAAGGTCTGCTCATGTCCTGACTCCTGAGCCCAGAACTCACTCAGCTTTCCTCCTGGTTATCTAAGGCAGGAGGTCCAGCTTTGCCCTCCATCCCCACCCCAGGCAGTCACTTTGCCTTGTCTAGTCATTAGCATGCATTGTTCCTAGGAAGATCTGGTCTGTTTATGGCACTGGTGTTTGTACTCACCCTCCCTGCCTGACCCTGCAGGGTGGCCCTGCCAGACTCCCTTTGCCCTGCTCATCTGCACAGCACAGAGACTCAGAAGCTTTCATTTATCTCCTGGTAACTCCCAGCTCCTTCCTGTGGTAGAGGGTGGCCCAGCCATCCCTGTGAACTGCTTGTGTTATTGTGTTTTCCCAAGGGGCACGTGGCCTTTGTGGATTTTGCCCAACACAGCAGGGCCAGTTCGCCAGCAGACTGCAGACTCACACCTTGTCCTGCAGTCACCTGCCATGTATATGTCTGGCCCCAGGGCTGCTGTGCAGTCTCTTTCTGGTGGTGACCAGGAGTCCCCTCAGCCTCCACAGGGGCCCACGCAGGTTCCAGTAATGAGTCTGGAGCTTATTAAATGTTCCTCTCCTCCTTTTTTTCTGCTTTGTTGAACTAGGTTGGAGAGTGACTGGAACCTAACTGGCCTGTTGTCTTTTTTTTTTTTTTTTTTTTTTTTGCAGCTTTTGGCCGGGGCTGGGTTTGAATCTGTCACCTCTGGTATATGGGGCCAGCACCCTACTCCTCAAGCCACAGGCGCTGCCCGGGCACATTGTCTTTATCTAGATTGGCATCAACTCCCACTGCTCAGAGCAGCCCCTTCTGCCCCGACAGGTCCATGGACCCTCAATTTTGCTGTTAAGAAATTTCCTCTCTCTCCTTTGATCCCACCTTCAGGTCTGCCCCCGTATTGGTGTCTCCGTTTGACCCCTAACATCAGCCTTCTACAAAGCATAGTGAAAAAATGAAAATCTTAATGTAACAGTGTCTGCTATGGAGAAGAGCTCAGCCTAGTGCCAGGGTCACCTGAGCACGAGAGCTCCTGAGCTGGAGTTTCCAGGGCCTGAAGTTTTCCAAGATAGTGTTCTGTACAATATTTACTCATAGTTTCAGACTGTGATTTACACTGTTTTATTTTGAAGTTCTTTCACATCACGGGCATTTAAGTCTTTGTCTTGGCTTGATTTGCTCTGTAATTTGTAAGAGAAACCTCATTCCACTGTATCTGTCCCTAGAGGAAAACAAAAATATGGCTTCCCAAGTTATAAAGGTAAAAATTTGCTCTCATTATTTATAATTTTTCTGGGTCTTAAACAATTTTCTTTATAACATTTGAAGTGAAACTACCCAGAAACACTTAGTGGCTAACCAGAAGCTAAACTCCTAGCATTTTCAAAGAAGGATTTATTGATCTTTAAATGTCCAGTGTTGATTCACAAGGACCCGGACTATCTTGCAAAGTTGTCTAAACACTGATGGGAGAGCTGGCCATGATTGTGCAAGCTCACTGTCCTAAACTTATATCAACTTATATCAAATAAAATTATATCAACTGGGCCAAAGAAAGAGGAAAAATAAAAGAAACAGAGGTAGCCTGGGAAGGGTCTAGGTAGGATTGATGACCCTAAGAGAGTCACTCTGCCTCACCCTCTGTGGTGAACAGGGACCCTGCTCTCTGTCCAGAAAGCTTGGTCTCAGGGGTTGTGGAGACACAGCTGTTCACCAGCCAGAAAGGGTCCCAGTCTCCTAAAGGTTGGTGCGCCCACCCATGGGCAGCTGTTGCTTGTGGGAAATGTGTCCGTTGCTTAAGAAAGTCTATTTACCCTTCCTGGGTGCATACACCAGTGGGGAGATCCCGAGCTATACCCACAGTGGAGTAAAGTCCCATAGTGCTCCAGTCCAAATTCCCATGAGCACCATGGTTTGGACGTGCCCCCCTTCTCCTTGAGAGCCCTCTGCTCAAATTCTGCCTCTTCTGACATTCTCCCAAAATGTTTGCACAAGAGAGCATCCTTGGCACTGGGTCTTCAGATGGATGTTGACTTAGTTCTGCAGTGCAGTAGACACCAGTGGTGTGAGACCTTCGAGCCCCACTGGGTGAGCCAGGCTGACAGCTGGTGGGTTCTCAGGAGGAAACTAACCATAGCATCAGGAGCACCACAGCTAGTTTAGTCTACGAGATGAAACTTACTAAGGGTAAACATCAAGAAATTCAAAGGATCACTTTGTCAAGAACTTGGGGTACTTAGTTTGGTCCAAATTCAAGGAGTGCATGGAAGAGAAACCCCCTACCCCGGGGGAGTGGAAGCTGGGCTGCCTGGCTGGGAGGGTAGCGTAGGAAGGGATTCCACTGTGCTGGAGCAAGGCTGCATTGGGAAGCCCACATTTGTGATTGAGGACATGCTCGTGTCAGGATGTGGCACAGGGTGTGGGAGAATGAAAATCACACTGGATGAAGAACTGAAGAAGCAGCCACTGTCCCTTTGTCCAGCTAAGTGGTCATGGAGATGAGAGCTGCTTCTTCCCTGCAGCTTCCAATGTGCAACCTCCAGCCCACCTCCCTGCCCGGTCTGTTCCCTCAACCCAGTCCCTCCATCTGATCCAGGTTAGGGTGCCTGCAGGCTCGGTAAAGTGTGGCCTTATGAGAACTAGGGCAAAAAGACAATAGGTAGGCCCCGGACTACTGATTCAGCTACCAGATATCTCAGTATTTGAATTTTTATTTATTCTGGCAAAATTGACAAAGGATTGCAGTTAAACTTACATAGTCAGCCTAAATAAAAGCCAAAAGTTGTGGTACTATTAAAGCATGTTCATCAACCTGTAGACATTTTAGTCAGTTATTTCTTGAGGTATATCTGCTGCCAATGGTAAGCATCAGGCAAAATACATACGAAGATAAGACCAAATTTCTTATCTCCCAAAATTTGCTGGTGGTACAGAGCTGCCAGTGCAGTGGG